CTTTGACGTACAACACATGTCAGGAGCTTCCAAGAAAGTGGCTGATGCCCTCTCCAGTGAGGCTATGTAGGACTCTCCCTGTATATCAGTCATTGTGCTCCACAGATGTGGAAGGGGTTTGTTTCATTCTCCTGTATTCAGTAGTAAATACAGAGTGTGCATGTACTTATTAACTATGTTTTAACCAAGACTTCCAGGAAGAAATCTCAGCCAATGTGGCCCAGCCTGTCCAGCACCATCTGTGATTTGGGGGGGCGTGTCATAAACGGGGGAGTGTTGACCAGCACCCAGTGACTAAGGGGTTAACTCAGGTACCTAGCAAAGGTGTTGGCCAGGGGGCCGGGAGAGTCAATCGAGATAGAGGCTTGAAATTTGAATTGGATATAGATTCCCGGCCTGCTTTCGTTGTCTGGGAGAGTTAACACCAGGAGCTGAGAGAGACAGAATGATTTAAACCCAAGCAGAACTACCATGTCCCCATGGAATTCAGGGCATGGGAGCGGACCGAACAAAAAGAAAATTAGAAGTGAGGACCAGGGAAATGTGTATCTAGTTGCATTCAGGGTAATTTTTCTTTATTTTGTGGTTTGGTTTGAACTGCTCTGTATGATTCTATGCCTCCCCTCTCCCCTTATCAGCTAAACATTGTGCCAAGACTTTTTTCTCTGTTTTTTTTAAAATTTGATTTCCTCAGTTGCTTGGTAAAATCTAGCAGCCAAGTATACTTGATCAAGTTTATCTTTTGTTTTGTAATAAAAATCACTTTTTTGAAGGTGAGGATTTGATTCTTGTGTCCTGGAAGGTCTGTCTGGGGGTATCTGCAGGCCGTGCCTTTTTTGTAAGAAAAAAGGTGCCGGTACCCCAGAGGAAAGTTGTTGAGCAACAGAAAAGCCACACTGGGGACCAAAATGTGGTCGTGGCCCTTTTAATACCCACATATCCCAAGCAGGCTTCTGTCGGGAGCCAATCCCCAGGAAAATAAATGCCAATAGGTGCTGGTATGCCTGAGGAGAATGCCATTCATTTACAGTATGCTAGGAAAATAGGGGTGTACAGTCACAAAGAAAGCACTGCTAGGACCAAAACTGACCCCTCTGTCAGAGCCAGACATCCTCACCCTGCCTCCCATTCCAATGCTCCCACCCCTCCCCAGAGCCAGGCACCCCAGCGCCCTCCCCCCAACCAAATTCCCCTCCCCCAGAGCCAGGCATCAGAGGGACGAGACGGGTAAGGTAACCTTACCTTCAAAGTGGCCGCTCCTGCGTACAGGGAGGTAGCATGTGGCCTAACTCCTGGCTCATTGCTCTATGCGTCACGTGGGCCTGTGTGGCGTGCGCGCTGGTCTCACCCCAACTTGCGCTGGGCCCAGGGCAACTGCCCCCTCCTTGCTACGCCTTCAGTGTCGGTTCAATGAGTCCCCCCAGCCCGGCTGAGCTGCCCGCTGCTTTTCTGCCCTCCCCCCAGCCCAGCTAAGCCGTGCACCGTTGTTCCACCTGCGCTGCCTAGCTGAGCCATGTGCTACTTCTCCACCCCAACAATGGAGCTGCATGCTGCTTTTTAGCCCCCCCGCCAGCCCAGCTAAGCCGTGCACCACGGTGTGAGCGCTCCTAGGGCCGGGGGCTGTGCTGGGGAAAGCAGCAGGGCGTGAACGCTCACAAACAAAGGTGCCGGTACGCCGTATCGGTGCGCACCGTCACCGAAAAGCACTGTCTGCAGGCCTCTGACTGAGGGGTCAGCTACCAGAGACTGCAGCTTCTTTTTCAAGCTCTTTGGGGGTAAAAGAGTTTGGGGTACCTCCGGGGTCGGTTTCAAGTCTTCACCCCTGGTTTTTTAGGGATCAACAAGCACTTGATGGTGACAGCGAAATCCCCCAAATCTGGGTATTGGTATTTTGGGGGGAAGTTTTTGTAACCAGTGCCTGGAGACGCTCTTGCGGGCTCCCACCTTCTTCGTTCATAGTGCCAGAGTGGGGAACAGCCTTGACACCCCCTTTCCCATACTAGGGGCCTCATGTGACCCCTTACTCCTACCAGGGTCTCCATGTGGCTCTGTTTCCCCACAGCAGGGACGCCATGTGGACGCCATGTGGAACACCCTTTGCCCACTCCAAAGGCCCCGTGCGGCCCCCTCCCCTGTACCAGGTGTTCTCTGTGGCCATATCAAAGGGGTGGCCTCTTGCCCCATGCCAGGGTCCCATATATCGAGCAGGGGGTCTCTGGAAGCTCAACTAAGAATGACTGGGTGTGACGGGGCGTACCAACCCCGCACTGGGCATGAAAGAGTGAACCAGGGCTACCTGGCAGCGAGAGCCCCGCCCCCTGCCCTACTGGGCATGCTCTAGCCACGGACAGGTATAAAGGCTGGTGGATCAGCTCAGTTGGGCATGACTGCTGCGGAGGAAGGAGGTGTTGCCTGTGCTCTACAGGAGGAGCTACAGGAGGACTGAACTGCGGAAGCCAGTCGGGGGAACGGCTGGAGAAACGCAGTGGGAGACGAAGCCGACGTCAGGGAGGTGGGTAGGAAGTAGCCTGGGGCGGGGAGCTGGAGCCCTGAGAACTCAACGTGTTGCGGGAGGATTCCCCGCTGAACTATTGGTGGCACACACCCACCACTGACAGGGCTCTGGGCTGGGACCTGGTGGAGAGGGAGGGCTTGGGTCCTGCCACCCCATTAATCCCCAAGGTGGGCGCTACAGCTGTGCCTGTGGACTTTGGCCACTAGGCCTTACTGCCTTGGAACAGGGAGTGTTTGATACTGACTCTGGCTGCTAGGCCTTACTGCCCTGATTACAGGGGGCACCACTACTGGCTGGGGCTGTCAGGCCTCACTGCCCTAAGGAAAAGGTGTGATAACTGATTCAGGCTGCCGCCCTGAAGGACCCGGGCTCTGGGCCTCCTACCTGGGAGAAGGGTTGTTGTACTGACTATGGCCCAAGGCCGGCCTGTTGTGGGGAGCAGGGAGGTAGAGAGACGACCTGGTCCACAGAGCCTGAGACACGCACAGGGAGCAGCACTCAGTTAGAGGCTAAGAAGGGGCCGGGCATGCCCAGTCTGTGACACTGGGCCGGAGAAGAGACGTCAGGTGGCCGATCTGCTCTCCCCGTCTCACAACACCCAAACTGCAGGCCAGTCACTGAAACTGGGGTTGTGGGAAACTCAGACCAAACCAAAGCAAATAAACAACATGGGTCACTTGTTCTCACGAGCAGCTGTAACCATCTGCAGGACTCACTGCTGCCCGGGGCGCCGGGCTTAGCTGAATCCCAAACAGACCGAGACACACACAGGGACGACGAGAGACTCTCTCCAGAGTAGCAGGAGGGTCAAGACACCCAGAGTTTACTTGGGGCTGTACAGCCGCACGATTCAGAGCATGAGCGGGTCTCAGACAGGAGCCAGGAAAAAACCTTTCGCATACGTGAGGGGGGCAGATTATCTGATGACTGCTCACTGCTGGGGTCCAGACCCTCTGGTGCTGTCAGCACGCACGGAAACCGTCCGGGTGTGATCTGGTTCAGTCTGGCAAGCCCAAGAGGTCTGTGGCCGCAGGGCAGTAAATAGCCCTCTAGGCGTTTGCCCCAGATCTAGGCTCATGCTGGTTTCAGTGTTTTGAATGAGCTCGGAGAGGGAGTAAATGGCTCCTGGATAGGCTGACCGTACGTTCTGGATTTTCCAGACCACTCTCGAATTCCAATATTCTGTCCCATTGTCCCCATAAACCGCTGAAATGTCCTGGAAGGAGGGAAAGCCCCGAGGCTCCCCCCCGGATCCGGCTCATGGGGAAGAAGTGTAACCCACACACCTAGTGTGGGCCACTGACCACAGCAACAGATAAGAACAAGAGACCTCGACAGCAGGGGCTGGGAGCCAGCTGGCTTTTAGCTCAGAGGGTAGAGGCTCCTATAGTCAGCTCCAGAGATCCCTGGTTCAAATCTGTCTGGTGGCGGTTACAGACACACAGCTAGAAGCGGCTGCGTGCGCTGCCGTTTCCCTGCTCTGGCTGCGGGAGCAGGAGCACTGGGACGTGTTTCCTGGAGGCTTTTCCTGCTGCGCTGCAGCCCTGCCAATAGTGGCAGAGAAAGGCAGCGCCTGGGGCACCATGTTGGGGGCTGCGTGAAAGCAAGTGGTCCCCCCCTCTCCTGAGGCCCAGACCTGGCACCCCCAACCCCCTCACTCACCACTCTGCCCATACCCTGCACCCCTCCACATACCCTGCACCCCTCCACTCACTGCCCTGCTGACATCTCGCCCCCCCCAGCCCGCTCGCCGACACCCCGGCCTGCTTGCTCATCCCCCCACCGACACCCCGCACCCCCAGCCTGCTCACTGACACCTCACAGCCCCAGTCCGCTCGCTCGCCCTGCCGACACCCCGCACCCCCAGCCTGCCAGCCCGCTTGCCAACACCCCAGACCTTTCGCCGACACTCTGCAGCCCCAGCCCACTCGCTCGCCCTGCCGAGACCCTGCACCTCCAGACCTCTCGCTGACACCCTGCACCCCCAGCCTGCTCACCGACACCTCGCATCCCCAGTCCGCTTGCTCACCCTGCCAACACCCCGCACCCTCAGCCCACTTGCTCAGCCCCCCACTGACACCCTGCACCCCCAGCCTGCTCACCGACACCACGCAGCCCCAGCCTGCTTGCTTGCCCTGCTGACACTCCACACTCCCCGCCGCTGCCCCGCACCTCCAGCCTGCTCGCTCACCCCCCTGCTGCCACACTGCCCCCCAGCCTGCTCACTCACCACCCTGCCAATGCCTCACCCCCCCAGCCCACCTGCTTGCCACCCTGCCAACGCCCCGCAACCCCAGCCCCCTTACTCACTCGCGTCCCTGCCGACACCCTGCACCCTCACCCCCTCACTCACTGCCCTGCCCTGCCAACACCCCTCACTCCGGCCCTTCACTTATACCCCCCAAGCCAAGATCCTGCACCTCTAGGCTGCTCACTCACCCCCCCCCACTCCTCTCACTGCCCGCTCCCTGCTGACCCTACTCACCGTCCTGCCGACACCTCTCGCAGCTCCTGTGTCCCAGTTGTTGGTGTGGCAAATACGGTCACTGTACTTGTGGAGGGTGTTCACAGAGGACTGTGCACTGTCAGGGCCCCCGGCCTCTGGAAGAGAAGGGGAATAACACAGCGGCACCCGGAGGGGTGAAACACACAGGCAGGCACCGACGAGAGGTGATGTAAGTGGGAGCAGCCTCCCAGCACGCGAAATGGGATGCCACAGACATGGAAGTCGCCACCAGGTGCTGCTGTGAGCTCAGGGATGAGAGAGAGAACCAGGCGGAGCGGCAGAAAGGGAGCGTTTGCTCCTGTGGGTCTATATGGTTCCTGCCGGGCCCCCGGGCTCGGCCTTGGCACTTCTCTATGAAGCCCGAGCTCTGAGTACGTCTACACTGCAAGCTTCTTTCGGAATAAGCTTTCCCGGAAGAGAGCTTCTGGAAAAGCTTATGTCAAAATAGAGCATCCACACTGCAGGGAAGCCTCAAAATTAGTCGGAGGCTCCTCTAATGTGGACACGCTATCTCGACTTAAAGCCCCAGGAAGCCCTGGGGAGGAATCGTATATATAATACAGTAGCCCAATGTCTGTGAGGGTACGTCTACACTACAGCACTAATTCGAACTAACTTAATTCGAATTAGTTAATTCGAACTACGCTAATTCGAACTAGTGCATCTAGACCTAAAAACTAGTTCAAATTAGCATTTTGCTAATTCGAACTAGCATGTCCACATTGAGTGGACCTTGAACCGAGGTTAAGGATGGCCGGAAGCAGTGCCGGCAGGGCATCAGGTTAGGACTTAGAGCGTGGAGCTGCTGTCTCAGGCTAGCCGAGGGCTGTGCTTAAAAGGATCTGGCCCCCACCCTGGACAGACAGTTCTCAGGGGTTCCCCGCTTGCAAAGCAGTCCTGGCTTGGAGTGCCCTAAGTGCCCACACACGGCACATCACAGCACTCGGCCATCAGCCCGGCTGCACTTGCCACAGGCTGCCCTCTGGGGGGGGGGGGGGGGCCAGTGGGGTCCCCATCGAGGGCTCATACCCCATTCCTCCCTCACCTCCTTCCACTTACCCCTTCCTGATGTACAAAATAAAGGACACGCGTGTTCAAAAATAGAAACTCTCATTATTGAACAATACTCGGGGAGACTGGGAAAAGGAGGTGGGAGAGGGGAGGGCAACTAAAATGATCAGGGGTTTGGAACAGGTCCCATATGAAGAGAGGCTAAAGAGACTGGGACTTTTCAGCTTAGAAAAGAGGAGACTGAGGGGGGATAGGATAGAGGTCTATAAAAGCATGAGTGGTGTGGAGAGGGTGCATAAAGAAAAGTTCCGCATTAGTTCCCATAATAGAAGAACTAGAGGACACCAAAGGAAAGGAATGGGTAGCAGGCTTCAAACTAATA